AAAATCCTCGTCCCCCGGCGGCATCTTTTTTTGAATTTTCTTCCTTTTCAACGCCGTTTTTCGGGAATTTCGGATTTTTTTTTGAATTTTTTCGCGAATAATATTCGGAAAATAGATAACTTTTAACACATTTTAATGCAATAAAAATTTTTGGTCGGAGTCCTCCTTTAAAAAATCGAATTTTAAAAAATCTTAAAATCTGAAACTTTTTGTTTCATCAAAAAATCAACAAAAAAACACACTAGTCTGTCAAAAAAATAGTCTTCTAGCTTTTCTGAGAAAAAGTTTGGGAATGTTAGGCAACTTTAAAGAAGAGTGTATTCCATTGGAATTGATGGGAAATTCTAGAAAATATCTGAATTGAAATAGTCAGATTTTGAGTTTTCTAGGTTATCTGGGAACTGAGGTATATGATCTCAAAAACAAATTCCAAAATCTGAGAAATTCAATTAGAATAGTGAAAAAAAATCAACGTTCTAGCTCTTCTAGAACCTGAGGTACAGGCTTTTGAAGTTTAGGCAACTAGAGAGTGTGGGGAAGGGAGAGAGAGCAGACGACAAGATTCTCTGACTGTCTGCGCGTCTACAACTTTAACCGCCCATATCTCGGCTCCTCGATGAGCTAAAAACACGAAACTTGTATCGGTTTGTATAGTTTTTCCCACATTCTCACGTTTAGCTAACGAGACTAAATTTCTCAAAAACTGGAAAATCAAAATTTCAACTTCTAGGAAAATTGTTATCTGGCTAGAAAATAGACTAAAAATCACAGTTATGGTCAAACAACCAGTTCTCTAGCTCATCTGGAGGCTAAGATAGGAGTGTTTAAAGTTTTGAAGAGACGCAGACAGTTAGAGTGCTCTCGTATTCTGCACTCTCTCACTCCCCCACGTTCTCTAGCCGTCTAAACTTCAAATGACTGTATCTCAGGTTCTAGGTGAGCTAGAGACCTCGTTTTTCGACAGAAATGTGCTACATTTTTCCTTTTTTTTAAATTCTAACAAATAATCCGAGACAAAGATTTTTTCTAAAGTCACGAAGACGAAGAATTCCAAAGCCCGATATCTCATTGTCAGCTCAAAATGCTCCTAGAACTCTAAAATTCATATCAATCTATATCAAATGCTCCCAATTTTCAGCTGCCCAGTACCTCCACCCTCTGCGAGTTCCCAATCGAATGTCTGGAGCTAGCCACAGACGAACGGACCATCGGTGTGGCAACGAATTCGATTCTAAAAGTTGCCGATATTATGACTGGACGCGAAGTTCGAAATTTGACAGGACACACATTGCCAATTACGAGTGTTGCTGCGAGTAAATTCAGTCCGTATTGTTGGTACACCGGCTCGTCGGATTGCAGTTGGACACAATGGGATACAAGGATGCATCAGTCGAAGGTGAGATTTTCGGAGTTTTTCAGTATTTTTGAATTTTTGAACTATCAAAAACGATAAAAACTACACAATTTGGTCCAAGTTTCATGTTTCTAGCTCATCTGGGAGTCGAGATACAGTAATTTGAAGTTTAGGCCGCTAGATAGCGTGGGAAAAGAAAAGAGCGCAATCAACAAGACACTCTGACTGTCTGCGTCTCTTCTAAACTTTAAACACTCATATCACGGCTTCCAGATGAGATAGAGAGAAAATTAGACGGTTAGAAGTCATTTTTTGCATATTTTAAGATTCTTAAAACTTCTAAGATTTTTGAGATTTCAATTTTTCAAAAAGTTCCATTTTCGAAACTATTTCTAAATACCAGAAAAGCATGCAAAAATACACAATTTTCTGGATCAGTTCACTAGCTTGTTTGGGAGCCGAGATATGGTCATTTCAAATTTTGGCGGCGAGAGACGCAGACGACAAGTCTCTCTAGCTGACCTGCGTCTCTTCTGAACTTCAAACGCCTGTATCTCAGCTCCTAGATGAGCTAGAGAAATAGGAACTGGACAGTTTTGTGTCATTTTTTTACACTTTTTTAGATACTGATAAAAAGTTCTGAAATTGAGATTTTCGAAAAATAAAAATTTTCAAAATATCTCAAATTTTTGTTATCATCTGAAAATATGTCAAAAATTATTCAAAACGGTTAAAATTTCATTGTTTTAGCTTATCTGGGAGCTGAGATATGGGCGTTTAAAGTTTTGAGGAGACGCAGACAGTTGGCCAAAAATTCGGGGGGTACAACGATTCGGGGGTACAATCTACCAATAATTCTGGGGTACAACTTATTTCATTTAGGGGTACAACGTTTGTGATTCGGGGGTACAATTTTTTTTTGACGAAGTTTCTGAATTCCTGAATTTCAGAGCTTGAAAATCTCTGAATTTTTAGAATTCCAGAACTTTGGAATTCCAGTATTTAGGAATCTGAAAATTTCGGAACTTCAGAATCTCAGAATCTCAGAATCTCAGAATTTCATAACTTCAAAATCTCAGAATCTCAGAACTTTGGAACTTCAAAATTTCAGAACTTCAGAATCTCAATATTTCTGAATTTTCAATAATTACGTCAGAAATTTTCTTCATTGTCTTCAGAATTCTTAGAATTCCAGAATTCGGAATCTGAGAATTTCGGAACT